ATAAATGAACAGAAAGAAAAACATAGGTTTTAGATAAGCATAAGTTTCAGATGACCTTCAAAAAAAACTAAAAATTGTGCACATTAAATATTTTTAAATCATCTTCCACTCGAAAATTAACTGAAATATTTATTAAATATAAAGTTGTAAACAATATGTTTCAACATCTTATGCATGGTCTATAACAGAGACTACTTTGGGTTAGCCATTTGTTATCATTATTTATAGCTGTACCTTTATTATCACTATTTTTAGCTGCACCTTTGTTATCATTTTATGTAGCTGTATTTTTGTTATCACTACTTGTAGCTGTACATTTGCTAATCCAACAATATCTTCAAATAAAAATAACAGTGTAACAAAACACAGCTTAGAAACATTTAAAAAAATGTTTTGCGTATCAATAGCCAAACTAACCTATTAAATTGCCCATGATCTAGTTCTTTTAATTAAATACATCATCAACTGAAAATGCAGAAGTTTAAACAGATGTTGCTTAAACAAGCTGTAACAAGGCCTAGAAACAGAAACTGACACACTGACACATAGTCTGTTTAGAAAAATTATAGTGAAAAGCAATTTTCTGGTTAAACTTGTTTAAAATTGCAATACAAAAATCATAATGGATAAATCTTGACCAGTTTTTAAATTGTTTTTAACTTAATTCTTCTAAAGAAAACAATTAGAATTACTTCATCATATGTGATCCATTAAATATAAAGAGCATCTAAACAAAATCTTTTATTAAGCAAAAAATAATTGAAACTTTTCAACTGCAAATTAGACATATTTGCATAAATATCATCATAAAGATGATCAGAACCAATTTAATTGACAGATTGGTCAGAACCAATTTTATGACAGATTGGTCAGAACCAACTTAATTGACAGATTGATCAGAACTTAATTGACAGATAACAACTCTGGATACTTTTTTATGTCTTTAAAGTAAAAATCACCAATTTTTGTTATTTTGTTTTGTTATTTTTATTCTTTTGATCATTTTTGATCACAATTTATTGCAAACTCTACTGACATAAACTTTGAGAACTGGTTGATAACTTTGTCCGAATAAGAAGCAGTTAAAATTTTAATTAAGATAAGATGATGTAGCAATGTTTTCGTTTGACTCCAACTTTTTTTTAGGTGTGATCTAATCATAAAAATTTGGCAGCAAACAAGTACTCATGTTAACAACCAAGATATCAATCAAGGGGACATCTTTTAAATAACTTTTCAGCAGCTGAAATCAAAATATGCATGTATTGAATTTTAAATTTTTCAATATCCTTCAAAATAACTGCATCATTCTTTCTGAGTTTTGAAAGTTTTGAGCAAGTCTCAATAGTTTCAGATTTAATAAACATCCTAAGAAACTTAACCAACTGCTCAAGATCACCATTCATGAGGTTGAGTTGGAGTTGATGCATGAGTTGGAGCATCTGTCAGAAGCAATTCAAATATGCTCACCAGGAAGCTAAAGAACTGGAATCTTACAAGGGAAGGCTTCTTTTTAACAGCATTTACAACAAACTTATATGATTTGCTAGATAGCAGTTTACTTCTAGACAGAGCTTCCCACCAAATCACAACTTTTATAATAGAAGTATAATTACTAAATACTAATTACTCTTTTACCTTTTAATTACTGTTACCTTTTTTGTCTTTAACATAACGGGTTGCGCAAAATAAAAGCAGGAACAGTGATACTGATAAAGTCTGTCAGGAGAATCGTAAAATAAGATAAAGCAGCTTTTGAATGTCTTTTAAATTTCCTAATAAGCTGATATACTCTTTTTTTGAAAGCACCCTAAATTATGTGTTGAGAACAGCAACCTATGTCAATAAGTTTAGATAGTTCGTGCTCATCACGTTTGCTTTGAACGTCTTCTGAAATTTAAAGTTGACACGGGATCCATTCATAGAGACCTGAATAACCTTGCTGATAATAAAATCACTTATCATTTCATTAAAATGATTCAGCAAATCAAGTCTAGTACTATGTCCCACAAATAAGAAATCCCAATACCTCACTTCAACTTACATTTTTTCTTCATTCCAATATCGGATGAGTAAATTTTATTTCATCAAAGGGCACAACAAACTAGGGAGACAGGTTTAGTTGTTGTTTAAGTAAAGCTTTGAAATGAGGCCCAAGACCATGAGTGATGCTATATCCAACTTTATTTGGTCCGATTTGAAAAGAGCAAAATCACTGTCATGAAACATAGCTTAAAATAAATTAGTGGCATCTTTGTTTGAATTGTTAGAAATGTTATTTAAGAAACAATGCAATGCCTGCATAATTTCTGCACAAGTATTATCAGAACTTGATACAATGAGTTCTAAAGATTGTGGCTTCATAACATTTTATTTTTAGAAACTATCAGATATCTTTAAATTAGACTATTTCACTGAATAAGGTAAATTATTATTTTGAGCAGCAGACGATTTAAAAAAAACAGGATAAATTGATCGCAACTGAAATATGTTTTTTTCCTTTTTTTCTAACTTTTTAGTGCTTGAAAACCCTATGTTTGAAAGTTCGTTTATTTTATGGCATAATTTGCATTTAGCCTGGGCATTATCTTTCCCTTTTATAAGCCAAGAATCAAAATGACTTTGTTTAACCATGCTTCTTGAAACAAGCCTTTTTTTAATTATAGAAGTAGTTTTAAATGATCTAAAATGATCATTAAACAAAATAAATATATAAATAGTTTTTTTTATAAATAAAAAAAAAAAAAAATATTATTGTGATAATAAAATAACAACCATAGATAATTTGAATAAAAAGCGTTTATTGAAAACAATCATTAGTAATTAACAAAGTAATTTATTTAATTGCTGCAGTGAGCAAATGCTCACTGAGCGGTAATCCAATTTAGCAGCAAGTTTAAAAACTACAAGTTGAAATTTTATTTCACATAATCAAGTTCATCAAGACTTTTTTAAAAGTTTAACACTGACTTATTAAGTTCAACATAAAACAGCAAATTGTTCCAAATTAGAATAATACGATTGGAAAAAAAAAATTCTTCTACTCGAATGTGTACAGATCTCAGAAGAATATCCTGGAATTAGTCTAGTTGCTCTATGTTGTGCTCCTTTAATAAGAATGTCTTTTTTTAAAAATGAATTCCAAATAGAAGACGCATATTCTAGATAAGGGCGAACTAGTCAAACATATAACAATTTAAGTATATCAGTATTTAAAAATGAAAACGTGTCGAATAAGACCCAAAATTCTATTTGCTTTAGAAACACACATAGATATATGATGACCATATTTCAGATCGCTTTTAAACATGATACCAAGATCATTTACACAGTCCACAGTACTCAATTGATAATCAGAAATGTAATATTTATTGATATTTTTATTTAATTTATTACTTTTATTGATATGCATGATTTTACATTTTTCTATATTTAGTTGCATACTCCAGTCATTGCACCAGTTGAAAATAGAATTTATGTCATCCTGTAGATCATTACTACTGTTATCACGGATTATGTGGAAAACTTTGCAATTATCAGCATAGAACTTGCATTTATTTTTTAGTTTATCCGGAAGGTCATAAATATAAATTAAAAACAAAATTGGTCCCAGAACCGATTCTTGTGGAACACCACTTAAAACATTAAGCCACATAGAAGCAATATCTCCAAGAACAACTCTTTGTCTTCTATTTGGTAAAAGACTCAATCCATTTAAGAATGAATCCCTTTATACCATACATTTTAATTTTTAATATAAGTTTTCTATGGTGAACTCTGTCAAATGCTTTAGAAAAGTCAGTAAAAAGAATATCAATAGAATAATCTTGATCTACTGCTAGAATTACAATATCTTGGCTTTCAAGTAAATTTGTAAAACAAGATTTACCAGGTAAAAAAGCATGCTGATTCTTGTTTATCAAACTATTGTCTAAAAGATGCCAAATGATGGGTTTTTATAATATCCTTTCTAAAATTTTGCATATAACTGACGTGAGAGAAACAGGTCTATAGTTGGAAGGAACAAGCTTATCGCGATTTTTAAAAATCGGAACTATGTTTGAGTCTTTCCATGCTTTTGGTAATACTCCTAATTTAAGTGATAGCTTAAAAATATGTTTAATAGGAATACTCAGACTTGAAGAAGAACAGGTACTCAATAAATACAGATGGACTCCATCATTCCCACAGGATTTGTATTTATCCAATGAATTTAACTGTACAAGAATTTCTTTCGAACTGATTATTTTGTTAATATCATTTTCAAAGTGGGACATAAGTAACAGGATCATTTTGAATCAAGTAATTTTTTACTTGATTAAAAAGTGTTTGATTCAAAATATAAACAAATTTAAAAATATCAAAGTTATTTATTCCAAATGTGATTTAATTAAGAGTTAAAATGTAATTAGGAGTTTTAGTTTCTTATGTTAACTTGTTTACTTTGTTCTCTTTCGTTAAGATTTCTTTTCTTTTTTTATTTTTGTTTGCTGTTATTTTCTTTTAAGTTTTTGCTTAGGTTTTCTGCACATTTTTATTATGATTTAAAAAAAATTTAAAGGCTGTGGTCAAATTGTGTGGTCATATAATGGCGTGAGATCACATGCCTTCCTGTGAAACACTGTCAGGTATTTTTTTAATTGTCAAAATAAATTAATGGGTAGCACCAACAAA